TTATCCGTCAATGACATATGTTCAGACAATGAACTGTATATAGCAGTGAGTATAGTTATATCGTTGGTGGGTCTTTTGGTGGGCTCATTGGCTGCTTTGTACTATAAATACCAAAAGGAAATTAAGATCTGGCTATATGCCCACAACTTATGTCTGTGGTTTGTGACCGAACAAGAATTGGACAAAGACAAAAAGTACGATGCCTTTATCTCCTATTCGCATAAAGATGAGAAATTTATCGCTGACTATTTGGTGCCCCAATTGGAAAATGGTACACCACCTTTTAAACTATGTGTGCACGTCAGAGATTGGATGGTAGGCGAATGTATACCCGATCAGATAGTACGCTCTATTGATGATTCGAGAAGAACTATTGTTATATTGTCGCAAAACTTTATCGAATCAGTGTGGGCTAAAATGGAATTCAAAGCGGCTCACCAAGCCTCCCTCAATGAAGGCAGAGCCAGAGTAATTGTCATTTTATATGGCGATATCGAAGTTGACAATTTAGATTCAGATCTGAAAGCCTATCTCAAAATGAATACATACTTGAAGTGGGGTGATCCTTGGTTCTGGAGTAAATTGCGTTATGCCATGCCCCACTCTGCCAATGATCTTAAAGGTTTAGTAAAAACTCCCCTTAAAGGCTCAACCGATGATAAACTAGAATTGATAAAGCCATCGCCAGTAACGCCCACTCTGACAACACCACCCGGTGAGACAACGAAAAACCCATTGGTGGCACATCTAAATGGCGTGGGTGCTCCGCAAACGGCAGTTATGTTTGCCAATGGCAAAACACCCAGCTACTATACGAACGGTAAGACCACACCAAATTGTCATATTAATGGAGCTTTTATTATTAATACAAATGCCAAACAGAGTGATGTATAGAATTGGGAGAAGGCGGAAATGTTTCAATTTGATGACGTACTTTATCGATGAAACATTGAGACGCTAAAAGGACACCACCAACATACTAACATCAATGATCTATAATTATATATATGAAAACAAAATCAGTAAAAATAGAGAAAATAACACACAAATATCAGACTGAAGGGACTAAAGTGCATTGTGAAAAGCTTTATAAAAGAAAAGATAAAAAAGTTTTACAACAGCATACTAAACGATAAATTCAATTTTCAATATTTATGAATTGATATAATTTTGAAAATAATATTATAAATTTCTTTGACGAAAACAATGAACCCGATTAGAAAAAAGTTTCAATTAATAAATTTAAAATTTGTAGTTTTTTTAGTAATACAAATAGCTTTCAAATTTTCTTTTCTTAATATTTAAAGCTTTTCCCTTGTACAATTTCAATTGAAGCATTAAATATAGCTTTTATTAGTTTTAATTTTTCAAAGAGCTTTTTATAATTATTAGAGTAGTTAGTTATTATGTTTAATTAAATCACTAACAAAGTACTCAATAGAAGATATATGATTGGCAACTAATTTTTCAGACTTTTGTTATTTTTTTACAATATTTTATATTGTTAAGTGTTATTTCTTAACTTTTTGCATACTTGGAAATATTACCTGACTAAACAGAGATTTTTTTGTATACTTTGAAATATTACCTTAGTAAGCAGAGAATTATTTTAATAACAATTTTCAATAACTTTTTTATAATTTGTTCAATTAGTTTTTTTTTTAGAAAACAAACACTCGCTATACTTCAAAGCTCAAATTTAAGTTTTTTAGTTAATAAGTTTGAAAACAATCATATTTTAGTTTAATGATTTCTTTTAAACTTTAGAATAATAAATATTAGATGAAAAAAACAAAAAAAAAAGAATCCCAATTTACAAAAGATAAACATATTTGAATCTCATTAAAAACTCGAATGGTTCAAAATACTTATATAGATCATCATTAACAAATATTAAGAGAAAACAAAAACAAAAATTGCCTTCTATGTGTAAACATAAAATATTTTATATAAGAGTAAATTTTTATTAAAACAAAAAATAAAAATAAGAAATTTTGAAATATCAAATGTATATAAAACTTCTAGTTCTACTTTAAATGTTTTCACACTTTTTACACCAACCTCTTTTATTATTTAATAATAATTTTATTTTTTCCTAGTAGTAATTATATTAAACTAAACAAAATATGTATAAAGTAGTATAAAAAATAATATAACGATATCGTATATACTTATATTAACTTATACTTTCAATAGCCAAATGTTAAATATTTGCTTTCTAGTTTCGCCCAAAAAAATTTTATACTGTAAAAATCACAACTGAAATATTTTTATAATCTCACTTTACTCTATAATCAATCGCTTTACATGATCAAGAATAATGTATAGTTTTTTTATTTCTTCATCACATCTGTATTTGTATAAATTTAAATGTATGTATTCAAATTATTTGTATTCTTCTTAAACAGCATCTTCATTATCATAAAACTCGACAAAATACAAAAAGAAAATCACAATATTTATAATAATATTGAGAAACAAAAAAAAAAAACAAACAAACAAATAATTCTTTAGTATAGTTATGTCTATTTATGTAAAATTAATGTTAAATTTAATGGAAATCAACAAAAAATAAAATTTACTTTAAGTAATTATTACATTAATATAAAATTTAATTATAAAAAACAACAACAAATAAATATGTATATTTTAAAAATAAATTATTTGTTCATTTATTTAATAGAAAAAAAAATTAAGATTGAATAAGATAAAAATCAAACTTTTTAAGGAATGAAAATTGGAACAAATATAGACTAAAACCTACAATTTTGAGGTCATATGCAAATATGCCTTCGAAATAGGTTTTGTAATCACTCTCAACTAGGAATGTCATTCCCAAAATTTTGATGTGTAAAATACCGAGTTTTTGAGAATTGATAAAGTTTAAAAAATACCATATCTATATAGGAAACATTACTCATAACTAAAAAAAAATTATGGTCGAATACAGTGGACCAATGTATAACCCACAACAGCTAATTGTATCAATGGTCCAACTAAGATGTTTTTTAATTTGTGTAGTTATAATATTTAGTTATAATATTTATGAGTATTTAAAGAATAGTATCATCCCAGGAAAAATTTTAAAACTTGTTCTAAAAAAAACTAGATTAAACTCAGACTCTTAAACAACAATCTTGAAACTAGTGATATCACTATTACTTCTTGAATCAGTTCCTCGGAACATCGTTTTGGTTCTAAAACATTTCTAAAGAGTTTTCAACGAACTAATTTTTTGACATTAGTTTTACATTGGTACTACACTAGCTCAATGGAACGCATATTAGTTCCGAAAGATTCAGAAGTTCTAAGATTCAGTTGAAAAGAGTGTAAAAGATTAAAAATTCATAAACACGCTGATAAAAGAACTATTTTTAAAGAAAGTGTATGCCTTCTCTAAAACTTCCCTAAAACTAATCAATCATTGGTCTCAACGCCAAACGAGTACATGACATTAGTTATACATTGGTACTACACTAGTTCAATCGAACGCATAGTAGTTCCGAAACAGCCTCTAAGATTCAGTTGAAAAGAGTTTAAAAATGAAAAACTCATAAACACACTGATAAATGAACTATTTTTAAAGAAAGCGTATACCTTCTCTAAAACTTCCCTAAAACTAATCAATCATTGGTCTCAACGCCAAACTGGAACGAGTACAGGCTTAAACAAGTAAGAGTGTTATATTCGGCTATGCCAAATCTTATATATCCACCATCAAACCGTATGCCGTAAAAGTAATGCTCACCTATATATTATATGGGTTCAATTATGGACCGATCCTCTCAAAATTTAGTAGAAAGGCATTTGCTCGTATTAAACTTATTTGTGTCGAATTTAAAGTTAGTCATTTTCATAAGAGGACCTTATATGGGAGGGTAGGGTCAATTATAGAACGATCCTTATAAAATTTGCTAAAGCGATTTTGGTTCGTAAGAAACTTACTTATGAGCGTTAAAGTAATTTTCTGAAGGGGACCTTATATGGGACAATTATGGACCGATCCTAATAAAATTTGGTAGAGGAATTTTTGCTGATGTTGCAGTTATGATGGTTAAAGCCATTTGTATGGGGGCTATGCGAAAACGTGGACCGATATTGCCAATTTTCAACACCAAACAAACCTTACTTAATGGAAAGAGCTAGAAGGTTGAAATTCTAGCTCTTTCTATTCGGACTCTATCGTGCTTTCAACAGGCAGACAGACGGACATGTCTATATCGTCTTAAAGCTCTGTACACGGTTGTCAGATCTTACAACGTTGTCAGTAAAATGTGCAGAAAGTGTCCAACAATCTTGTGAACTTGCTATTTTTCTTTTGCAATGTTGTCAGAAAAATCATTACTGACAATATTGCAAGATAAAATTTGTAAATTGACACCGTTGTTAGACATTTTACTGCCAACGTTGTAAGATCTAACAACCGTGTATATATAGCTTTAGAACTTAATAAGGAAACAGAATATATATACTTTTATGGGTCAATATTTCAATGTGTTACAAATGGAATGACGAAAACAATATACCCACATCTTTTTTGCTTTCTAGTACTGGTTGTGGAACTAATACAATTTTTCTTGGCATATGTATATCGTTAAATCTACAGATCAAGATCTTTTAAACCAATGTTGGTGATGTAGGTTAGAATTTAGAATAGGTAGAACGTTTTTTTTTCTTTATCCGAATGCCTAAAATTTTACTGCAGCTTGTTTCAGACTATAGAGAACAAAATAGGAAACACTCATTTAGTTCTAAAACAGAAAATGTTCAAAGGTAAGTAATTAAAATTCATTTACAACTCATGCATTATGTCGGGCTAAATTAAATTAAAAAAAAAATACAATTAAAATTGGACTTTACACACACTACCACTGAATTTATTTTTAAATTTCCCTGTACTAATAGCATTTGCTGATTACTACCAATAATAACAAAAAATTCAAAACCACCTGTAAATATGTACGTAAAACTTTAATATTTCTTGTAATTGCAGCCTTTATAGCAAATTATCTTTTTGGAAATATTCTAATATGAATTCAGCAAATACGACTATAACGACTTTAATAATGATTATGCATGTTTCCCTAATATGGGGCAGAACTTTCTGGCAATTAAATGAAGATGCTAAACACTCTAATTGTTCCTTAACTGGATTTGTACTACTAACTGACATCAAATTACATGTGGTCTTGGATCCTGGTAATAGAACCGGCTGATATTTTTCGTCATCAAACTAAACTTATTGAACTAAGCTTGCGAAATAATAAGTTAACGAATTTAACAGAAAACCTATTTTATTATAGTTCAACTTTAAAAAGTTTAGACTTGGAAAATAATCTTATAGAAGTACTGCAGCCTGATATTTTTAAACCTTTAATCAACTTAATACGATTAAATCTAAGTAGCAACAAATTGATCGCATTGCCCCAGGGTCTTTTGGATAATAATAAAAATTTAATAGAACTTTCTTTGGGCCATAATCAGGTGCAAATGAAGAATTTGCCTTCAAATCTGCTAGCAAATTTGCCCCATTTATATGAAGTACTTTTGGAGTGTGGTTTGGAAGAGCTGCCGCCAACTATATTTCACAATTCGAAGAATATTTTATCCTTAACTATAACGGGCAATAAGTTTACAGAACTTCCGGAAGATTTATTCAAGAGTCAACAGCATTTAAAATTTTTGAATATATCCAATAATAATTTACTGCATTTACCGGAAACTTTTTTGCAAAATACTACGGATCTTCAGATATTTGATGTATCCTACAATAATCTAACATTATTCTCAAGGTGAGAGTCTAATATAAGAAGCATAACTTTCAAAAAAAATATCGGGGTTTAACTTATTATGTTTTATATATTTAAGTAATTACACTGTGTCGCACTGGGTCTATTTTCAACTTCGCCTATGTCAAAATTTGTCCCGACCGGACCAGTCGTTTCAAAAGGCCAGAATAGTTTCTAAAAATGTGTTTAGTTCTCTAGGAAATCACATGAAAAAAGTGATTTTATAATTGAGGTTAACATATTGAGGGTATTACAATATCCGAATATCGTCGGAAAGGTTAATCTGTGTAGTATCTTAGTATATTTTTTAGGATTTAGGATAACTTACACACAAATAGGAAAAATTTTCGTAAATAATTTTAATCAGATCCGAAAAAATTACATTAAGTGATTTTCGAATGTGGACCTTTTAAGGAAGGGAGTTACCGACCCGAAAGAAATTTCGCAGAATGATTTATATACACAGAACAAATTCATGTCGAATTATATGCCAATGTCTTTATTATTAATGGAATATTTCCGTTTTATGATTTCTGGAAGTGGACCCTATATGGGAGCTATAACCAATTGTAGACCGATACAGACGATATCTACATACATTGTTAATATAATTTCTGTTCATATTATATTACCGATAATGTTGAGGGGGTTGTTAACGATAAATCATACTTTTGTATGATCGAATTCATCCCCGGGCGAAAAAAATATGTGACAAAATTCATCGAATTATCTTCGATAGTTTCTGAGAAAACTTGAAAATTAGATGTAGTCTGAAATTTTTACTCATAACTTTTTACGTTTTGGACCGACTTTGCTGATTAAGTGCTTCTTTAACTGCTTAAGATAATAATGAATATTTTGCTTAAATTTGGATGATATTTATACCCTACACTACTATAGTGGGGAGGGTATTATGCCGTTGTTCTGATGTTTGTAACACCCTATCCTATCCACCACCTTAAAGTATACCAACAGGTATCACTTCCTGAGTCAATTAAGCTATGTCTGTCTGTCCGTCCGTCCGTCGGACCGTTTGAGTACTCTACAGGTCGCAATTTTTAAGATAATCCAAGGACGAGCGCTATTGAAAATGGTTGAAATCGGTCCATTATTTCACATAGCCGCCATACAACAGCACCCCCCGAAAACGGCTTTCGACCTCATAGTTATGGCAAAACTTAATTTTATATAAGTCATAATAATACTGCCGATTTTCGTAAAGATCGGGCATTATTTGATTCTAGCCCCCATACAAAGTACCCTTCAGAAAGTTAACTGAATGTCCACAATTCACTTATAAACACTAGTATCGCGATGATAACATACATAAATCCCGTCAACAAATTTTATAAGGATCGGCACAATTTTTGCCCTAGGAACCATACAACCGGACCTTCCGATTTATGTTTTTTGCTCAAAATTACGTCAAATATAATAGTAAATATAATAGTATATAAAAATCGGCAAAACTAAGTTTTATATAAGCATAAATAATACATATTTCCAATTTTCGTAGTGATCGGGCCTCATTTGACCCTAGCCCCCATACAAAGTCCCCTTCAGAAAATGACTTGAATCCAAAAATTATCTTCAACCAAAAAAAATTTGATTCTCTACAAAATTTATATCATGTAAAGTATGCGAGATGTGTATATGCAAAAACAAAAACTGTTTTTTATGACCTTTGAACTCATATATCTCACATAGCGAAGACGGGATCATTTCTGACTTAACTGTAATATCATGATGAAAGCCTGAACAAACTTTAATCTAGACAACAAATATGAATTTTTTCGAGTAATTTTTATTGCGACACAGTTCTATTAAAACATATGAGAATATTTAACGAATATTAATTAATTTCACTGCATTAATTATGATTTATTTTATTACAGTAACATGTTTCATTCCTGTCGAGAATTGGAAGTTCTTTTATTAAACAACAATAAGTTAACTACCGACAACATACACATAACATGGACCTTTCGATTTCACCGAAATCTAAAGACGCTAAATATGAGCAACAATTTAATTGAATCAGTATCAAAAGAGTGGACAGTGCCTTATTTTCTGGAGATTTTTGATTTAAGTCATAATAAAATAACGATACTAAGCGATACTGAAATAATTAACTTATTAATTTACAAAATAATACTGTTGAAAATAAGGACTTTCAAAGGCAGCTTTTAAAAATTGATCTAAATAATAATCCCATCAAGTGTGATTGTAAAATTTTAGATTTTGCACAATTATTTAAGTCTCCAAATAGATACTACAACTTAAGGGATAACGTGCAATTTCTGGTGAGAAATCTAACGTGTGTAGAACCAGATATTCATAGAGGAGAGCTAGTTAAGACTTTAGAACCAGCTACTTTATTATGTGAATACAAAGAAAAATGTCCTGCCGTCTGTTCATGTTCTATAAGATCTTTTGATGAAATGCTTATAGTAAATTGTTCTAATAGAAAGTTATCTAAAGTTCCCATATTACCTACTATAGTAGAAGAATCTATTAAGGGAATTGAGCTAAATATGGAACACAATGGGTTATTAAGTCTTCCAACAGCCATAACACTGGGTTATGCTAATGTAACTAAATTGCTTATAGCTGACAACTATTTAACTCAAGTGGAAAGAACCCAATTGCCTGTAAATTTAACTTATTTGGATATGAGAGGCAATTATTTAGAAACCTTAAGCACCGATACATTAATGTTTATGAATAGCAGTAACTTGTCCCAGGTGTATCTTTCGAATAATCCTTGGCTATGCAATTGTGATGCCCGATCTTTGTTACGTTTTGCCCAAAACAATGTACAACTATTTAAGGATTTTTCCAATATGACCTGCGCCAACACCGAACATCTAACCTTTTTCTATGATTTGCACAATCTCTGTCCAATTGAACGAAAGTTATATATATTTATTTTTATATTAGTTGCAGTAATCTGTTCAATGTTGGCTCTGTATTACAAATATCAAACCGAAATTAAAGTGTGGTTATATGCCCACAATATGTGTCTGTGGTTAGTGGTTGAAGATGAATTGGATCAGGATAAAATGTATGATGCCTTTATATCATATTCAGCCATAGATGAAGATTTTGTTTTGGACATTTTAATGCCCGAATTGGAAAATGGTCATCCACCATTTCGTTTATGTATCCATGTACGTGACTGGCTGGTAGGTGAATGTATACCAGATCAAATTCTACGTTCCATAGCAATGTCTAAGAAGACTATTGTAGTGTTGACGGCAAATTTTATAGAATCGGTTTGGGCTAAAATGGAATTTAAGGCAGCTCATCAAGCAGCTCTTAACGAGGGTCGAGCAAAGGTTATTGTTATTATATATGAAGATATTGGCAATGTCGAGGCCTTGGATGAAGATTTAAAGGCATATTTAAAAATGAATACCTATTTAAAATGGGGTGATCCATGGTTTTGGGAGAAATTGCGTTATGCTATGCCCCACGTAACCAGAGATCGTAACAGATTATTTGAAAGTGTACAAATGCATGAAATGTGGAATCGAAGAAGATGATGACGTTGTTATTTAAAATTAATAATTTATAAATCATAAAAAAATAGATGTAAAGCAAAAAAAGAAATTTTCAAGAATTTGTTGCGTTTTAAAACAAAATAATATTTTTTTTCTTGTGAAAACATCACGAATTACGACAACAGTTACGAATTTCAAATTTGTTTGCGTTAATTATTTTTCCTTAATGCGTGCAATATTTATGTATGTATATACTAGAGTGATCGATTATTCGACATTTTCCAAAAACCGGTTTTCGAATAGTTGACATTTAAAAAAAACCGGTTTTTCATTATAAATAAAAAATATATATGTATTTTAATTTGAAAAACTTAATGTTTATGTTTAAATTTAATTAATAAAACATGGCCCGAAATGATTTTTAACAGTTTAAAAGATTATAACTTTAGATCTAGTCGTCTGATTTACATTATTTCTTTAATATAAAAAAATTAATCCTAGCTTATTTTAAAAGCCCTGTTTAGTAACTTAAAGCCCTGTTTAGGCATTCCAACACTTCCATAAAATTTCAGCCGTAAATTAATTATTATAATTGGAATATTATCTTAAGATTGATAAAATTTTATCAAACAGTTATAAATTTTACAAATAAATTTTTTTAATTAATTAGGAAAATCAAAAAAGTTTAACCAAAGGAGCTGTAGAAAAATATACGCTAGTTCTTCGACTCGAATATTTTTCAAATTTAGACGGGCTGTATTACTACTTACTTAAAATTTTCATTTAAATAATCTTTGAATACAAAGCAAATAAAAGTATTCGAAACCGGAAAAATCAACATTAAGAAAAAACCGACACTGGTAAAGCAGAAAAAACCGGTTTTTAAACCGGTTGAAAAATCGAGTCGATCACCCTAGTATATACCCAATAAACATCGATTCAAAAAAAAAAAATTTAAAATACATATTTACATTATTTCCAAAATTTTTGCTTATTGGATTTGTTTAAAAAGAGAAATTGAATACAAATTTAAAATTAAGATTAATCTTCTTTTTCAAAAATGGTGAATGAAAAAATTGATAAGACTTATCAGTGCATATTAAAATAAAAAATAGTCTAACATCTAAAATTTTAAATAAATTGAGCAGAAATTAAATTTTATAGGCAATGTTTTACAACCAGCTCGCGATTTAATATCTTGAAAAGTTTTAAATAAATATATATTAATTTTAAAGTTCATTAATAGTTTTTATATTAAAAGAAATATCAACCTTCAATTATCTCTTCGGTAAATATTTTCGTCGATTTTGAAAAGATAACGGAACAAAATTTGAAATAAGATTGAAACCATGAGACCTAGTTAGACTTTTCCAAAGGATTGAGCAGCGCTGAAACCGAATCTGTGATTTTCTCTATTACATCTGGGATTTGAGATGTCGCATCCTCAAATTTTTTAAAACGCCATTTTTAGCCTTTTTGAGACCTTATAAACAGCGCCAACTTTAAAATAACTTAACATCTGACATACATATCTTCTTTCTTATTCGGATTCAGCGCGGCTCAATCTTTTAGAAAAGTATATTTTGGTCTCTGGGTTAATTGGGACAATTTTTTTAGTATCAATGCAAACTCTAATCAAAATTCGACAAATGTAAATAATATTAAACAATCTAATCGATACTTGTAACTAATGTACTATATACCACCCTGTTCCATTCTTTTAAAACATACTCTTAGTCTCATCAAAAACACATATCATTTCCAAAATAATTGTTTAGTTTCCTCCTAATAACTTTAATAATATTTTTCATTTCAGGATTTAATTGGAAAAAAAAATCATGACATATTTAACAATATCCTTTTGTCATCTTTTTCTACTAATCACACAAATAATATCCTTAACAGTGTCTAATTTTAATCAATCAATAACGAAATTAAGTGTCACAGAAGAATATGATGTCGGTATAGAAATAAATTGCTACAACATCACGGATTACAAGGAATTTCAAAATCTAATAATATCTCGTAAAACTAATATTAGAAATGAAACACAATCATTAAGCATATACAATTGCCCACTTGCCGATGATGACATTTCATTGAGCTCTACATTGCAGAAATTTGGAATTATTGTTTATCGTCATTTATCGATTAAGAATTATGATTTGGCCACAAAACAACTTAACAGACATCATTTAAGATATTTTCAAGAATTGGAAAGTTTGACACTAAAAATGAATCATTTAAGACATTTGCCAAGTGATTTATTTACCGATGCAACATTGAGCAATTTAACAACTTTAGTTTTACACACAAATGCTTCTGAAATACCAAATAATTTGTTTCAAACTTTGGAAAACTTAACAAGCTTAACCCTAGGTCACAGTTTAGAAACTATAACATCTAGTCAATTCCGAAATCAAAAAAAGTTGTTGCATTTAAATTTATCATATAACAAATTAAAAAATATTGCTTCGAATATATTTCCCAATCATGGCCTAATACAAACCATAGATTTACAAAACAATCTACTTCAAACTCTACCTTCGCATATTTTTGACACAATTCCATCACTTATTACCATAAATATAAATTCAAATGAATTTAAAAATTTACCACCTAAACTTTTTCAATATAATATAAAATTGAAAGAATTCGTTTTAACAAATAAACGAGAAGTTGATTTATTGACGTTACCAGCGAAATTTTTGTCAAATCTTCTTCAACTAAAAAAAGTTGCAATAAAATGTGGTCTTGAGTTTTTGCCTGATGATGTATTTTATAATTCTACGAATATTGAAAAAATTATGTTAGATCATAACAAATTGGTTAATTTACCAGGTAACCTACTGGAAAACCAAGTGAAATTAAGCTATTTAGATTTATCGTATAATAATTTGAATAGCTTAAACAGGAGCTTGTTTCTAAATACGAAGGAATTGAAAACTTTAAAATTGGCCAACAATCAGCTGCAAACAATCGACAGGTGTGTATGTTTGAGAAATTAAGATGAATATAGAGTTAATTTCCGTTGTGCCGAATCTTATATACACAATACCAAAACTATTATTAATTATGTATACCCACCATCAAAATATACATACATACATATACACTAGGGATATAACTATAGACATTTTTTTGCTAATATGAGAACTGGCATAGCATAGTCGAATAGAGCATTAAAAAATATGAAAAACCACTGTACTATTTGTTCGCTGAGTATATTATTTTCCAATGTTCGGAAACTCAGTTTCCTGGACGTAATTCCTAAGAATTTTCCAATCAGTGTTAGTCAGGAATGTTATTTCCGGAATAACAGCACTTCCGAGATACTTGGATCTAACTTCGACGAATGCCGGACAGTGACAAAGAAAGTGTTCCAGAGTTTCACTGTCCTCTCCACATGCTCTACATTCGCCTGAATCCGCGCTGCCAATTTTGTATAGATGTACTCGTAATCCTGTATGTTCACTCAGAAAATGTACGCACCATCATACTTGCTTCAGACTTGCTCATTTTGACGAGATTTCTCGTCCTGTTCTCATCAGGGTCACATCATAGGATCTTTGTGGTTCTACCCACCGTTTCTTTATTCCAAGAGGCCTTATGGGATTCTCTCACCCATATTTTTAATTCAGCTTTTGTTGCGTCGAATGGTTTTGCTTTTGTCAGGTTAACTACCTCGAGTTCCCTTCCCTTTAAAGCTATTACATTCGACCTTACGTTGCCGACTAGTCCCGAGTGGCCTGGTAACCATATGATGTAAACCTTACCTCTACTAGAGTATTCAGTTAAAGCATTCTTACAATCCAATAGGTCTTAGATTTAATTCTATCACCTGATATCGCCCTAATTGCCTTCTAGCTGTCGGTAAATATATTAAGCGCTGTAATTTACACATTCCGTTATTGCTCGGATTTCTGCCTGGAAGCTTGTGTTATGATATATTTCTATTTCTTGGCCTTCAATATAAATCCCCAGTACCACTTTATCCCCCAATTTAGAGTCATCCGTATAACAACGGATGCTCTAGTTTTCCGCTTGGGCAAGACATTCTATCTGGGATCAGCGTTTCAAAGTTTCCGACATATTCTGTGTCAGGTATGCGATCAAGCACGTCCGATGATTGTGTATAACCTTCCAATGTGTCCAGTATACATTGATGAAGTGTCCTATAGAGCCGTTCGGCTGTAAATAAAATATGTTTCGATGGGTGAAACAACGTTTCCAAAGCTTCGGTTGAAGTAGTACATATGGCACCACTTATACCCAAGCAGCATGTACGCTGAACTCCCTGTAGTAGTTTGACATTACACTTTCTGTCCAAAGTCCACCAGATTATTGAAGCATAAGCTAGAATTGGTCTAATTACACTTTTATAAAGCCAATTTGTCATAGTTGGACTAAAACCACATTTCATGCCTATATTTCTCCTTCATATCGCCCAGCACCGATGTGTCTTGTTGATCCTATCCTCTCTGTAGTGTCTCCATTTTAATTTCCGGTCGAGGATTACACCTGAGTACTTAACTTTGTCTGTCACCGGTATTTTCTTGTCCAGAAAGCAAGGTTCAGTATACGTAGAAATGTTTGTCTTTCTTGTGAAAAGACAGATTTCCGTTTTCGCCGGGTTAACATTGAGGCCTCTCGGTTGTTCTCAGCTCAAGGCCGTATTCAGAGCCTCCTCAGCTCTTCTATACAAGTAATTTGGATCCTTTTCTCGGTAAAGATACATACATGTCAAAGATAATTATGAGCTCCAAAGCCATTAGATCCCGTTATATGGGGATTAGAAATATTGGACCGATTTAAACAAAAATCAATTGGTTTCTTCCTTGGACCAAAATTGTTGCGTGTACATGTACTTTGATTACAAGGTTTACATAGACGGACGAAGGACGAAAGGCAATTCAAATGATGTAGAATTTTTTTGAATCAATAATTTAATGTTCAATTTCTCTACCTTTTTCAGAAATCTCTTTAAAAAATTGGACAAGCTACAGTCATTAGATCTAAGCCATAATCAGTTGAACTCATATTTTAGAATAGCATTGGAGAAAAATACAAATTTAAATTATTTATATCTGCAAAACAATTCCATTCCAGATCTGTTCATACTGCATATTAAACTTCCACGATATTTACGTGAACTAGATTTGAGTTTTAATGAAATTTACGAATTAAAAGGTAAAAATCTCGAGCTATTATACACTAATGATCTAACATTGAATTTAAGCCACAATCGCATACAAACAATACAATTGGAAGATTTCGGAGAATACAATCTATTGGATACATTAAGCGTTAGAACGGATTTAAATCATAATCCTCTGCAATGTGATTGTAAAATATTAAAATCAATGGAATATTTGTTGAATGGTTACAAAACTCACTTAAAGTTTAATATAGAAAATTTAAACTGTTGGGGACCCAAACAATTGAATGGCAAATATTTAAATGATGTTAAGAAAATGGAATTATTATGTTCCCTGCAGCCGCAATATGTTGGATCTTATAAGTGTCCAGAAGAGTGTGAATGTTGGATAAGATTGTATGATAAAATTTTATTAATGAATTGTTCGCACAGAAACTTAACCCAAGTACCGATTATAAAAAGTATCAGGAATTATCTCAATGGCATAGAACTGAATTTAAGCGGAAATCTAATTACTACACTACCCTCTTCGCTTCAACAAGGTTATGCAGAATGTACTAAATTATTTTTATACCAAAATAATTTAAGCGAAATCAATAAATCGCAAATACCCTTAAATTTAACACATTTGGATTTAAGGCGAAATCAATTGCAGCTCTTAGATGAGGACACTTTAACATATTTGAATGCCAACCGATTTCTGCATACCATATATCTGTCCAGTAACAAATGGAAATGTGATTGCAGCGATACATCAGTGTTTTTGTCAAATACTATCCAGAGCAATCGTTCAAAATTTGTTGATGGCTCTAAAGTGGCATGCCACAATTATTCCAAAATACAAGTGATTCAAGACCTAAAAGTTTTATGCCATAAAAAGAACATATTAAATATTGTAATGATTTGTATGTGTATAACTATTATATTTATAATATTGACTTTATATTACAAATATCGGACAAAAATTAAAATATTTTTATATAGCCACAACATCTGTCGTAGCATTGTTGCTAAATATGATGACGTTGATGATGTTAATAAGAGATATGATGCCTTTATTTCCTACTCCCATAAAGATGAAGATTTCATTGCAAACTATTTAGTGCCCGAATTAGAAAATGGCTGTCCCTCCTTTAAGTTATGTGTTCATGTCAGAGATTTTGTTATCGGTGATTATATACCAGATCAAATTGTAAAGTCAATAGCTGATTCTAGACGTATCATTGTTGTGCTGTCGAACAATTTCATAGAATCAGAGTGGGCAAAAATGGAATTTAAAGAAGCTTATCGTGCTACCCTAACGGAACGTAGAGCGAAAATAATTCCCATAATGTATAAAGACATTGGAGAGTTGGCTAATTTGGATAAAGAATTAAGACTATATTTAAAAATGAATACGTATTTAAAGTGGGAAGATCCGTGGTTTTGGCAAAAACTACGATTTGCCATGCCTCACAAAAAATGATTGAATTTTTAAATAAATTAAAAAATATATATACATTAGGGTGGCCCCAAAATGGAAGTTTTTGATGTTCCCATCGAAAATGAAAATTTAGTTAATTCTGAGATACCAATTCTCAAAATTTTTGTCCTGACTTTAATATTTGGTGAGCTGGATCAAAGGATAAAAAGGTCTTTGAGAGACGATTTCAATGACATAAACAATTTTGTATACGACTCCTAAATTATTAAAAATGTTTCAATTTTTTGGAAAATTTGTAGATTTTTAAAATTTTTACACAGAATTATTTAATGTAATTAATTGAAATTATTACATTATAAACCTTATATTCTTTCATCGAAACAGTTTTTTCAGTTTTTCGAAATTCGATATGTTTCGTATTTTATTTAAAAATTTTATATCCTACATTCTCCCCGGTATTGTGCTAGCTATATTTATCTAACGTTCCTAATATGTATATCAAAATAAGCGCAATTGTATTTGCTTTATATTGGTATATAATATTTTATATGTAATTTCATTCTATGATAAATCAGTTTAACTAAAATATTAGCACAATTTATCCTAAAAATCTACTTGTTTTTTACGCTTGCCTTGTTGATAACGGTTTATATATTGTTGTTTACATTATTTTGCAATGTTTTGATAGTGTACATAGGGTTCTATAAATTCAAATAAACTTCGATCTAGAATGAATTTAAAAAAACGGAAAACACTGTTTCCGTAGATTTTATTGAGGATTATTATGTATTAATTTCAACAAATTTTATTAAATATGTACATGTGTATTAAAATGTAAAAAATCTGAAAATGTTCCGAAAATTTTGAATATTTTGATTACTTTTGCTGTTACACAAAAATTGTTTATATGCCATTGAAAGCGTCTCTCAAGGACCTTTCTTATGATACCAAAATTTCATATCATTCCTTTGGAAAAAATATGAAATCATAAAAGCCTCATAAAAAGGACCCTTTTTATCCTTTGATCCAGCTCGCCAAATATCGAACCCAGTACAAAAATGTTGAGAAACGCTATCTTAATCTTTAATTTTAATCGGGAACATCGACACCTTATTTTTCCTCCATAACAACGGAGCAACCCTAATGTACATACATATAATATTGATTTTCAAAATTAAAATCACGCTATAGTTTTCAGTTCAAATTGAATTTTCAAAAATAATTGTTAATTTTTAATAAATATAAACTTTCTGAAACTAATAAAAAAACTGCATTTCTGAAATACCTTCAATAAATATCGCAACAACGAGTTTTGTATTGGCGATTTGATGGCTCACAAACATTTATAAAATTTAACTAAATAACAAGTTAATCCAAAAATGGAGTTAACAGCTTTTGTTTTACATTCGTCAATTTTAAACAATTAATAATTCGGTTTATTTTAGAAATGATATTTTGGTTTAGTTTAGTTTCACTATTTTTGTGCTAAAATTTTATTTTGCGGATTAAGAGCCTAACTCATCGCACATTTATATTAAACTAGCTTATTACCCGCTACTTTGTTAGCGAGGGTTTTTATAGAATGAGAAATATGTTGGCTCTTCATTTAGCAAGGAAAAAATAATATGTTTTACAAAGATTACAAATTTTTACATATTGGTAATTCCCTAATTTGAAGAAATGATGATTGTATATGTGTACTCAATTTTAAGTACTTAAAAGTCCACTTTTATAGATTCTCATTTACGCCGTGCTCTATATGCTTAATTTCATGTTTTTAGGTTGAATTTTATAGAAAACTCAAAAAGTACCAATAGAAGGACGAAAAAGTGCCAAAAAGTTCACTTTATAGATTCTCATTAACTAAGGCCTCTGCAAGCTTAATTTCATGTTTCTAGGTTTAATTTTATGGAAAACTCAAAAAGTACCAGTCGAAGTACGATAAAGTACCAAAAAGTCCCCTTTTATAGATTCTAATTTACTCCAGGCTCTACATGCTTAATTTTATGTTTCTAGGTTAAATTTTATAAAAAACTGAAAAAAGTACCAGTCGAAGAATGAAAAAGTACAAAAAAGTCTCCTTTTATAGATTCTTATTTACTCCGGGCTCTACATGCTTAATTTCATGTTTCTATGTTCAATTTCATAGAAAAATCAAAAAGTACCAATCGAAGAACAAAAAAGTACCAAAAAGGTCCTCTTTTATAGTTTCCAATTTACTCCGGGCTCTATATGCTTAATTTCATTTTTTTAGGTTCAATTTTATAGAAAAATCAAAAAGTACGAAAAAGTACCAAAAAGTCCCCTTTTATAGATTCTCATTTACTAAGGGCTCTACATGCTTAATTTCATGTTTCTAGGTTAAATTTTATAGAAAACTCAAAAAGTACCAGTCGAAAGACGAAAAAGTACCAAATAGTCCACCTTTATAGATTCTCATTTAATAAGGGCTCTACATGCTTAATTTTATGTTTCTAGGTTAAATTTTATAGAAAACACAAAAAGTACCAGTCGAAAGACGAAAAAGTACCAAAAAGTCCCCTTTTATAGATTCTCATTAACTAAGGCCTCCGCATGCTTAATTTCATGTTTCTAGGTTAAATTTTATAGAAAACTCAAAAAGTACCAGTCGAAGGACGAAAAAGTACCAAAAAGTCCCCTATTATAGATTCTCATTTACTCTGGGCTCTACATGCTTAATTTCATGTTTGTAGGTTAAATTTTATAGAAAACTCAAAAAGTACCAGTCGAAAGACGAAAATGTTCCAAAAAGTCCCCTTTTATAGATTCTCATTTACTCCGGGCTACATGCTTAATTTCATGTTTCTAGGTTAAATTTTATAGAAAACTCAAAAAGTATCAGTCGAAAGACGAAAAAGTACCAAAAAGTCCCCTTTTATAGATTCTCATTTACTAAGGGCTCTACATGCTTAATTTCATGTTTCTAGGTTAAATTTTATAGAAAACTCAAAAAGTACCAGTCGAAGGACGAAAAAGTACCAAAAAGTCCCCTTTTATAGATTCTCATTTACTAAGGGCTCTACATGCTTAATTTCATGTTTCTAGGTTAAATTTTATAGAAAACTCAAAAAGTACCAGTCCAAAGACGAAAAAGTACCAAATAGTCCCCTTTTATAGATTCTCATTTACTAAGGGCTCTACATGCTTAATTTTATGTTTCTAGGTTAAATTTTATAGAAAACTCAAAAAGTACCAGTCGAAGGACGAAAAAGTACCAAAAAGTCCCATTTTATAGATTCTCATTAACTAAGGCCTCCGCATGCTTAATTTCATGTTTCTAGGTTAAATTTTATAGAAAACTCAAAAAGTACCAGTCGAAGGACGAAAAAGTACCAAAAAGTCCCCTTTTATAGATTCTCATTTACTCCGGGCTCTACATGCTTAATTTCATGTTTCTAGGTTAAATTTTATAGAAAACTCAAAAAGTACCAGTCGAAGGACGAAAAAGTACCAAAAAGTCCCCTTTTATAGATTCTCATTTACTCCGGTCTCTACATGTTTAATTTCATGTTTCTAGGTTCAATATTATAGAAAATTCAAAAAGTACCTTTTGAAGAACGAAAAAGTACCAAAAAGTCCCATTTTATAGATTCTCATTTACTCCGAGCTCTACATGCTTAATTTCATGTTTCTAGGTTTAATTTTAAAGAAAACTCAAAATGTACCTGTGTAGAACGAAAAAGTAGCGAAAAGTCCCTTTATTATTAATTTCATGTTTCTATTTCAATATCATAGAAAACTCAAAAAGGACCAGTTGGAGAATGAAAAGTACCAAAAAATATCACTTGGTACCGGGGTTCCAAATAACACCCCATTAGGATATGTAGTGTTTTTAAATTTAAAAATTTTATCTAAATTCGATCATTGTGGTTGAATAAAATCAAATTTCCCATTTTTACCCCTTTTGGTACTTTTTTCCTCCCCATTAACGAAATAAAAATTCTATTCCAAAAAGTTGCAACATCGTAGTGGCAGCCCGTTATTATGTATTCATATGTATAAGTTAATAAACCAAAATCAATGTTTTATGAAAAAAGTACCAAAAATAGGTACAATTTTAACCCCTTAAACGTCCGAATATCCAAAAAGTACTAAATTCATATTTTTATTTTTTCGTTAAGTTATGAAGGAGTCAAAAATATTTTTCGAATGTGCACTGGTTTAAAAGATACATGGGGTGCGAAAAAAGTACCAAAATACAGTTTTTACCCGTTTATTCCCTAAAGGGGCCGAATTTTAAAAAAGTACCAGACACCTGTCCGTTTATTTTTTAAATGAACGGCGATAAGCTTTAAACTGTTTTTGTATCTTTTCTAGTTTAGGAGATATAAGGTTACCGAATTTACCCGTTTTTACCCTTTTTTACCCCCTAAACATTCGAATTTCCAAAAATCCCGTCTTAGTGGATCTATTTGGCGGGAGACCAACCTCCTGTCCAAATTTCAGCTCTTTAGCTTCAACCGTTTAGGCTGTGCGATGATGAATCAGTCAGTGAATCAGTCAGTCAGTCAGTCAGTCAGTAACGTTAGAATTTTATATATATAGATTATTTTATTGTTTAATACTTACCAGAAAACAATGTTGGTAATTTATGCAGTAATTCAAATCGTTAAGCTATATTTTATTACTTTTAAAATATATACATATCAAGTCGAAATAAACATTACGTATTATAACCCAAAAGCATTACATCGGTATACATTGCATGTATTTTAATAATAGCAATGCTTATTTCGCATATGATTTGTGTGTATTTAAGAAGCAATAAAGCTTAAGGATTTCGACCGCCCAAAAATAGAAAAATATTTTTGTTGTTTTTTCAATAGTAGTTCGTATAAGATAATAACTAATAAGTGGTATAACTTACCTAAAAAGAAAAAAATATTTATAATTAAATATAATAATAAAAGGATTTATATATAAAAATAAAAAATATGAAGTTTTTTTTTGGAATTAAATTGAGTTAATGAAGAAATGAAGGAATATGAATCTGGGAGAAAAAGGTAGGTACGAAAGGTGTACAAAAAATCATGATGGAAATAAGTTTATACTTCTAATAAATTAAATTTATTTTTTAAATCGATACCTAATAGGTC